TTTGTTTTGTGGTTGGTGGGGGAGGATATTGTGTGGGCTGGGAGAGAAAAAAGGGGGGGGGGGTGCTGTAGAGCCATGGCTTCTTTCAAAAGCGTGTAACTATGAAGATGCTGTGAAGGCTATGACCTTGTCAGCAGCAGCATCGACTGAAGAATGATAGACCAGTATGACATGCCAGACCCTAAGGACCCTCTCCACTCAAGTCAAGTTGCTATTTGATCAGAAATAGTGTGCATGACCTTGATTTTCACAAAACCCCAGTGGTCCTTGTGAATGTGATTTTATTTGAGTGTGTGTGTGTGTGTCAGATGAGTACCTTTGTGTGTGTGTGTGTGTGTATTAGTCAGGAATGTGCAGGAGAGAGGTTAATCAGGCCTTGAGAAGCTCCTCAGTCACAGGTCTGGACTGTCTCTTCCTCTCTGCTTTGACATCACAGCACCTCTGTTCTTTGACTCAAGTTCGTGTCTTAGACAGAATATCCAAAAAAGTCCAGAGGGAAGTAGAGTGAACAAGTACATGGTCAGAAATGTGCTGCTCATTCGCATTAAATAAAACTGTGATATGTTTGACCGTACAGTATATCAGAGAAAATCCCTTTTGTGGTGTGGTGGAATTATTGCCCAAAGGAAACCATGGTAATTGTCCAAGACGTTCCAGCTGAGTAGTGAGTGACAACTGAGCTGCAGTTTCATCATTAACTTGCAAATGGTTTTGAGATCTGATCTGTAACCCTGTAGAATTCAGGAAAAAACGTTCAAAAAATTCTAGCAAAACATATTAGTTTGCATTTGAAAGTATTCACAGTCTGATGGACATCCAGTTCTTGGTAAACTATAACTTTATAACTATAAAACTGTTTATGAAAATAATTAAGTCCACTGATTTACAGGAAATGCTGCCTTTTACATTTGCAGTTTTTTCCCTCGACAAATGTAACCCCTGAAAAAAGGAAAAAAAAAAAAAAAAGATATGATAGTTGGTCAAGTTGAATTTAGTCATTATTATACTGTATATAAACATTAGCAGGGCTTTTCTGTTCTTATTCCCTCATTGATTTGCTCTATGTTTACATGGATATGAAGTTACTTATACTCTGGACTCGTATTGACAACCTAATTCCAAGGTTGTATAGTAATAAATTCTGCTGTAAATGACGTTCTTCTCCTTATTTTAAACCAACTATTGAAACAATTCTTTTCATTTTGGCTGCTCCATATCTGAAAATGCAGAATAGCAGCACATACATGTGATGTGGTTTGCATCCTAAGGTTATGGTAAGGGTCACTGTCATGAACATGCCACATTGTTATTGAACTGGTCACAAAGGCGGTTACTGGATCAATGGTTAACTGGTGATTTGTGAGTCTGACCTTATGCATGTGTTTGTGCTAAATCTTCCTCCGTACATTTTTAAATGCATTGCCGCAGTGAAGAATTGTTGACCTTTCCTTTTCTGGAGTGTCAATCCTAAGTCATTGGCATTAGAAGAAGAAAATGTATCATAATTGGTGATTTAGTCCAACTGTTTACCAGACATACAAGGAGCGGAGATTAAAAATAGAATCCCCTGTCGACTTCTTGTTACAGGGACATTAAATTACTAATACAAATGTATTATATCTCCCTCGACCCCTGATGCAACATCAATTATAGTGAGACTACATGTTTGTGTTGTTACCAAATTATACTCATATTTCTCATAGGTGTAAATAATGAGCAGCTGCAGAAAATATCCTCTATAAATGCACGGGTTGCATATTTATAAACTAACAAACTGGAGAGAATGTCAGCCACAAAGTGTCTGGTATGTGTAGCTTGATCAGCTCCTACTGAATCAGAGCAGATTTCAGTTTGATCGTGACTGTACCAATTAAAATGTATCATTTCCTTTGTATATTATATCTGAGTGAGTGCCTTTTACTGCTGGACTGTGGTGCATTCCTTCCTGCTCACCCAGGTTCCCCTGCAGTGATGCTGGCTTTTCTTTATGAATAGCTTAACAGCCACTGTAGATCACAGCCAAACCAATTACTGAGGTAAGTCAAAGGGAACTAGGATAGAGCCTGCATGAATTCAAATCTGGGAGACCGTAAGCTGGAAGCTGGTGTTTTATTACTTTGTAATCTGAGCCGATCAGGTCTTTTTCAATTAATGCCTGTTAAAAATAGTCCCTTAGTCATAAAAAGAGCTATTGTTGATATGCACCACATGCAGTAATGAAGATGATGATTTCATTCTGTGATCATAAAGCTGACTTAGTGACAGACTCATAAAGGTGGACATAAACCATTTCAGTGACCCTCCTTAAGGCGAAGTTTGACAGTTTGATTTTGTTTCTCCTCTGCTCACTCCCACATCGGCGTGGGTTTATGTGTCTTACCACAGGTCTGGTAGTTGGAGGTTTTGGTGAAGGAGCTCAGTTGTTTCTTAGTTCCTCCAAACACCGACTTGATGATGTAGCAGGGCTCTGTTGGACCCAGTCTTCCTTCCTGTGGGTGTTTACCCCTCAGTGCTCCAATCAGTGCTTCTGCCGCTCATTTCCACTCTTGCTACTTCAAGCCTCTTTGTGCCCAACCTCCCTGATTTGGCAGTCTAATTTGGCTACAGCCTCTTCTCAAACTTTATGAGGTGTCCTCTGCTCTGACCTTCACACCTCCTCCTTACTGAGCACAGATGTTTGTAATCACTATTCCAGCCACTTGGATTGCTGTTCTGTGAACACACTGCTCCCAACAGCGTCTTGCAAAACACTGGTAAATATGCACTTCACTGTTCCAAAGCATCTTTTCACAGTCTGCACCTGGTGTCCCTGAAGGTCTACTCCTCTGCAGCCACATCGAGTGTGTCGCTGCAGACACCAGACAGATCGTTCTTGACTTGATGTTATTGTCTTCTATCTCCTTGATGGATGTGGTTATTGACTGGCAAGGTATTTATGTCGATGCCTTCAACGTTGGTTCTATTATGTTTTCGATAGCCTGAAGGATCTTCAAAGTAATGGTAGCTGTCTTAAACCTGCAGCATTGCCTACTTGTGAATCTCCCACCTTCTCATCATCCTTTCTCTCTGTGAAACCACCTAATGATACTTATACAGACATAAAGACACAGCACTATAGCTGATAGTGTGGAGCAGTAAGGTACATTTGTTTTAACTTATCTAAGACTAGATCTTTTAGAGATATGTTTATGGACATATGTAGTAGACCTTCACACATCATATTATTTTTTGACGTATGCTATGATGATGATGTACTGATCAGATTGAGCTAGGCGCAGCCTAGGGCTGCGTGTCTATAAATAAAAGAGGGAAAAAAACAATAACAATGACAGCTAAATTAAACTATACAAACAAATCAGAGCAGATCTCTGTGTTTGTGCCTTCTTTGAAGTGACCACTAAAGTTTGCACTGTCACATATTTTTCCCTCCTGCTAAGGGAGTTGTGATGCATGGTCGATCCACGGTGTTTTCCACAGCAGATCTTTTCAGAAAATGAATATCTTTGATGTGCAACCTTAAACATCCAGCTCCTTTCTAGTTCTGCTTTGTAAGATGCATGTGTGGGCGAGGAACACAGTGGGAGAGGTTTAGTGTGACAGGTGTATTCCCATTACACCCCACAACGCTTGTATTAAATAATAAACACTTTAGGTATTTCTCACAGGATGGGGCTTTTAATGTTTGCTGCACTCATTTGAAAGTTGTCTTGATAAAGTTTAGTCCCTGTGAAATATTCTGTCTAATAATATCAATTGTAACCAAAGGTCAATGTCAGCATGTGATTCTCTTAACGCTCCTACTCTATGTGCGCTAAATTCACAAAACACTAGACATGTATTTTTACTGTCTGACTCCAACCACGCCACAGAATACAAAGCACTCAGACATTAATGACTGCTTATTACTGTGATAGCAGTTTTAGGACAACTGGCAACAACCACATAAGTTGATAAAGTGTGGCAGTACTGGTCATATTAGCGTCTCGGGCACTGTTACTCTGCAGCAATGGTCTCATGCCTCGGTCACTTGAATTCCAAGCATGCCATGACGTAAATGACTCTCCAACAAAACAGCCACGAACTCATGAGTTCAATTTGGAGGCAACAAAACTCCCACATTGTTTTGGTCAGAGTTCTAATCAGCTAAAATTACCCACACTGGTGTGGGCAGAGTGACACAGCCTGTGGCGCTTCCAACTTTGTTGGGGACTCAGTGAAGAATCTGGCAGAGGTTGTAGTTTTGGTGCTTGGCAGGAGTTTGTTTTTAGTTTCTGCAGCTGCACCTGGGCAGCATCATTAACACTTGGTCTGTTCACAGGTGAGACTC